TAGTTTCAGGTAGTTATTCGAATGCTAGAAAACAGCTGCTTTTCTGAGTAAAAAACGTCAAATAACGTAGTTACTTTATGATACGTAATATTCAGAGGGTGGGGAGATGGGGGATTCCCCCGCACTATATGTCTCTGCATGGACTGAATGATTTTTTTTGTTTTATTTATTTATTTATTAATTCATTCATTCATTCATTTTTATTCCCAGTGAATAGGAGTTAAAACTCCCACCCGGGTGACGCTACTCCAATAATAGACCATGCAAAATAGGCTACCCCCCGAAATTTTTTTTTAATAAATAAACAAAATAATAATATCTTTAAAATATTGCCAAGTAACGTTGCAAACAACAATAAAAATCAGAAAAGGACTTTAATTGTAAGCGACACAAGTATATGGGAAATATATAGTTATGATGTTTTTTTTCATATGATTTAGTGGAGTTTCGGCAGTCGAGATCTGGCAGCAACAGCGCATTTTTGCGCTTGGGTGAGCGCTTTGCGGACAGCTTACCTCGCGCATGAAATCACCCGCAGACCAGCAAACCACTGAGAACGCGCTATAAGCCTGACGAGTCATAGCAACAGAGCGGAGCGAATCCGGAGAATCCGCTCGCCCGGAAGCAACCGCAACTGACTTAGATTTACAGAAAATTACCATTGTTTTCAAATAAATAATTTTACATGCTTATTCCCAACACTTTATTAAGCTTTAAGTCATCTCAAATGACAAGGGATCAACTTCTAATTATGTTTATATTAATTAGCCCGTGAACTCATTCTCTCAGACGGCCTGGGACAGTTGTTATGTTATTTGTTTCATTTTACAGTAATGAGAATGATTTTTTGCAGTGGTTATATAGCCTAATATTTTTCAAAAAGGCAATATTTTAAAATGACTAATATTTGTCTTAACTTTTTTGTGATTCCCATTATACTCAGTAGTGATTGTCATTACTGTAAAACAATATTTTACTGATGTATATTACAGTAGCCTAGATATAATATTTAATACAGTATATATTTATTATATCCCTTTTTTTAACTACTTTTCAAAAAACTTTGAATTTATGAACCACTTTTTTGGCGCATGCATTGGCTGCGACGGCACGGTCGGTGCGTTTGTTTGTTTGAGTGTTGATTAATTTTTGCTTTTTATGTTAATGCGGAGAGTGTACTACGGCTGAAACACCATGGGGAATTTGACAAATTGGATTTGGACTATTCTTATAATAACATGGATCTGACTGCGCTGTCTGGAGTATCGAGTTAAATGATGTCGGTGCGGGGCATGGACTAGGCCTACTACTTCTGTCTCTTCGTGGTTCTATCGTCAACTGAACCCATCTATCCTCATCCTGCCTGACATAATAGTAACACCGGGCTTAAAGAGGAAGAGCGGTAGGCGAGGAGGGGTGCGCTGTAGACTAGTGTAGACATCAAAGTAGTCAAATCGCATTATTAGAATCAGAATCAGAATGAGCTTTATTCGCCAGGTGTGCAAACACAAGAGGAATTTGTTGTGGTTTTTTAAGGTGCTCCTGGTACATACATACATGCATACATACATACATACACATCTGACTTATGATAATATAATTACAGCTTTATAGCTGAAATTAAGCCACGGTTAAGTGTAGTCTGAAAAGCAGATCATAAACACTGGGTTTGTTTGTATCTTTCTTTACTGCACGCCTCTGATCTGAACGCACTTCTTCCACATAAAGCCGCGCGCACACGCATGATTTTAAAATCAACGGTCATTTCGTTTTACTGACTGACTAACATTCGTTTATTGATCTCTTTATTGAATAAATACGTATAATTAATATATACAAGAGTAAATATTGTGATTTCAGAGAGATTTGATACGTCTATTTGAAGAGAACATGCTAAACGAGTTTTTTTCTTCTTCTTTCTTTTTTTACTGACCAAGAGAGAAGCACATCATCGTTAATTCAGTGGTAAGAAATGAATGTAATGTTATCCTACTTAAAGTCAAACAAATGTTATTCATTTTTAATGTCTGGAAAAAATTTTTTTTAATTTTTAAAACCAAATATTTTGTTGAAGTCATTGTTATTTGGTGCTTAAGAGGCGTAAAATCTGGGTTATTAGGTGTTTTATTTTCATATTAAAGTAAATATATATATTTTTTAATTTTAACATGCCTCATTAAGAAAAATACAGTCTCTCATATCTCTTGAAAATATGATTTAATCATTTATTTTAAATTTCTTTAATGTGAATTATAATGTCACTTAAAGGGTTAGTTCACCCAAAAATGAAAAGTGGCTTGTGTTTTACTTACCCTCGAAGCATCCTAGGTGTATATGACTTTGTTCTTTCAGACGAATCCAGTCGGAGTTATGTTAAAAATTGACTTTGATCTTCCAAGCTGTTTAATGGCAGTCGGCAGGTGTTGCAGTTCATCAGTCCAAAAGAAGTGAAATAAAGCACATCTATCCATAATAAAGTGCCTCACACGGCTCCGGGGGGGTGAACAAAGGCCTCCTGTAGCGAATTGATGCGTTTTTGTAAGAAAAAAAAACATATTTAAAATGTAATAATCAATTTAATCTATATGTTTGAAATATGGATATTTTTCTTACAAAAACTCATGGATTCGCTACAGGTGGCCTTTATTCATCCCCCGGAGCCATCTGCGGCACATTTTATTATGAATGCACGAGCTTTATTTGACGACATGTGGACTGTTCAACTGCAACACCCTCTGAGTGCCATTAAACAGCTTGAAAGATCAAAGACAACTTTTAACATAACTCTGACTGGATTCGTCTGAAAGAAGAAAGTCATGTACACCTAGGATGCTTCGAGGGTAAGTAAAACATGGCCTATTTTCATTTTTGGGTGAACTAACCCTTTAAAGTGTCCTTCATGTTGTTCATGTGTTCTCCTCCAGGTTCTCGTGAAACTCTTGACATTCCACGCCTGCCTGACCCGTCTATGGTCTACCCCTCAGCCCATCGCCGCAAACCTCCTCCTCCCATCCCCATCCCCGTGCCAGAGCCAGACAGCCATACGGGCACACTAGAGCGTCCCAAAACCCTTGAGTTCGCTCCTCGCCCCCGACCAACCCCCGCTCGGGCACGTCCGGACCCCTGGAAACTGTCATCTCTGTCCCAGACGCTCAGTTCGTCTCCAGGTAGCAGCTGTGACAGTCCGCTGGGCTCGGGTGACAGCGGAGTGAGCGCTGGAGTGGAAGTCATCCATCAAAGCCTTCTCGACATGGACATGGAAGGCCAGAACAAGGACAGTACCATCCCCCTGTGCGGACAACACCCACAGGCCACTCTATGCGGTCAACATTTCTCATAGGAAGACAGACACCCCACCGTCTGGGCTGATGCACACTAACCAGCACTCTGTGGCCATCGTGAGAGGTTTCCCCACAGTTTGCCCCGTGATCCCATCAGACCACGTTCTCTGGCAGCTCTAATGGAAAAGCTGCCCTCTGCAGTAGCTAGATAGTCACCTTCTGGACAGGTTAAGAGATAAATGACCTTGATTTTGTTTATCTCAGCCTGTCAACAATGACTCATTCTCTGGGAGTTTAATGGGCCTCACAACGGCTGAGAACGGTTGTTTATACAGTGGCTTATTAGTGAGCAGGAGCGGGCAGTCTAACTACTGTAGGTCTGTGACATTCCTTGTTTGTCCATATCTATGTTATCATAGGGAAAGTCTCTCTTGCCTCTTCTTCTTCATCATGGTCTCCATGGATACAACCTGTTTTTTGGCCTGGAAGAAAAATGCTAAGGTTTTTTTTCAACCTCATCCCCTCCAGTGTGTACATTGTAATGTTCAGTGATGCTTTCTGTATTTACATTCAGGAGAATTGTGTGTGCAGGTAATTGCAGTGACACAGGGAGCTCTTTTGCGAGTTGCATTCATTGTAATATATTGACACAATATAAAAATAGGTGTACCATAAGAATTTTATATTTTTATTTTTTTTGGAAAAAAACAAACTACATCTCAAACTACTGTCTGCATGACCTAATCAGAATGTGAGAGCAGTCCAAACGAGAAATGAAAAAGGAGCAAATGCTTTCTCTCCATGTGTGGAGGTACTTGGCACTTTCCAAGGATAGGGTACACTTTTTAAAAAAACCATTAGAGGCATAAATCTCATGTTTTTGGTGAACTCATCATGAATTAAAGGCACAATATGTAAGATTTTTTTTTAATTAAAATATCCAAAAACCACTAGAACAGTGTTATATATATTTTGCTGACTTGTACTTACATTATCCCAAATGTTTCGAAGAATGTTTAAATCCAGACAAATAAGCAATTTTAACTAGTGACACGGAGCGTGTCTATAGTGTCATTGTGTCGCCTGCCAATGCCGTCATACACCCTCGTCAACTAGTGACATGGACCGTGTCCATAGTGTCATTGTGTCGCCTGCCAATGATGTCATAACCCCTCGATTTCCGAAAACACCAAAGACGCTTTAATATGTTGCGCATTTTAATAGACCGGTGACGACCGCACAGAGTAGCATAATAACAGAACTTTCAAATGTATCTAGAATGATAAAACAGCGCTGCTTTACCCCACATACACACGACCGGAAGGAGCGGAAGCGGTCGACTGTGGCATAATAAAAGCTCCGCTGCTTTCGAGATGTGTGTTGCACTCGTTCAGCGGCCTCATTTCGCTTCGACGGCTTTCAGCCTCACCCTGCTTCATTCTACTACAGGGGTGACTTTTGGATGTATCCAACAAATATGATAAATTATACATATACACATTATACATATAACACATATAAACTGATATTCAATTCATTGTTGTTTATTAAAAAAAATGTAATGACTACAATAGTCCTATTTACCTGTCTCACATTTTGTGCACAACCCTGCATGATTTAATACATATAAGCAAAACATCTACTTGCATGTTCTCAGTGTTTACACAAACTGGAGTGATGACTGCATTTGACCAGCTCATCTTTCAACTGTTGCCTATGGTATTAAAGAAAAAATAATCTAAAAATATTTGTCTTTAATTTATGGGAGATAAGTGCATGGGAAATAACTACAACTCAGTATAGGAAATTATGATCCGCACTCATGAGAACAATCAGCTTTTTTCTTTTATTTTACATTCAAATAAAGGAAAAAAGAAGAGTGTTCTCGTGAGTGCGGATCATAATTTCCTATACCAAGTAACTCGACAGATTGACGCACCAAAATAAAAAGATCAAGTAACGCAAGAGCGCAGTGCAAACGACGTTGTTAAATAACTACAACTCACCATATCTAGCCCATATTGATAGACCCATTAGCAACATTTTCTTCTTTTCTTAAATTTTGTCTATTTATTTTGATGTTTATTGCAAAAAAAAAAAAAAAAAATCAAATCAAATGAACCATGGTTTAAACTCTATTTAGTGATCCCAAATCAATTCTACACTATTGTTCAAAAGTTTGGGGGTTGGAAATTTTTTTTTTTTATGTTCTTGAACGAAGTCTCTTATGAACACTAAGGCTGCATTCATTTGATAAAATACAGTAAAACAGTAATATTGTGAAATATTATAACAAATTAAAACGTGTCACATGATCTTTCAGAAATCATTCTAATATGCTAATTAAGTGCTCAATACATATTTCTTATTATTATCAATGTCAAACGGTTGAAATGTGTACTGACCCAAAGTTTTGAATGGTAGTGTATATGTCCCAAATTTTGGTAACAAGTTGCAAATCTTACTGGAAATGAATAAAACATTTAATGCAATCATTTCTGAAGGTTAAGCTTTTGTACCCTATTCATGGAAAGTGCTTCTTACTGTGCATGTCAATCTGACTAAAACTGAATGAGAAAGCCCCTATTGCACTCATTCTGTTCTAGAGTGTTTCAAGTGAAAAGCATTTACTTCCCTCTCTCATCGTAAACTCATCTGAAAAGCCTCTGTTCTCCTCAACACAATGTCAGCTCCTGTAAGGAACATTTTGAGGAGAGAAGGACAGAAATGGGAAAATTAGGGTTTTTGTAACAATTGGCAATAAAAAGCAAACATGTACTACCTGTTTTTTTTATGTACCAGACAGACACTTCCTTACCTCCTTAAGTGATGTTCTTCCTCCACCTACTGAACAATTCAACCGAAGAGAAAGGATCAGTGTATACACCAGATCTGACCATGCGTCACCACAGAGAGCATTCTGAAGGAGACTGTCATGTCAGGGCACATGGAAAGAGACATGTGATGAGATCATTCATGATGTTACAGGGTGTTCTTTTGGCGGACTGAATGGTGCTGAGAAATGCACACTGGAGGGTTTTCAAATTCGTTGTGCTGAACCGTTAAACCTGGTAGTAGACAGTATTTTTTTGACTGTCCACCAATGAGTATGCCTGTATGTGAGTGTGTGTGAGCGGACAGGTGTGTGTGCATGTGGTTTTGTGTTCTTATTGTTATAATTTTAATGGAGTAGTTCTCTGTGCAGGGGCTGAACAAACCCACCCCCTTATTTCCTGTGTGAGGGAACACTTAAGAGTATTTATTAAAATAATTGTTACAAGCAGTGATGTGTGCTATTTTTGTATATACATTTTTTGTCAAATCTTTTCTTGTGCTTTCATAACTAGGCTACACAAGATCCTGTTAAAAGATGCAATAATAACTATTATTATTTTAAATAATTTTCAGTTACAAATCTTTCCAGCTGAGTTGTTTGTTTAGTTATTTTACAAAACGAATTTAATGCATTTATGCATAAGCTTTTAATTAAAATGTTTTAAAGATAAAAACATCAGTCCATGGCTAAATGCTTACTTTTTACTGGTAGCAGCACAAATGTGATTGCAAATCTGTTATGGTGAGGATTTGTTACATTCATTTATAACGTCCCAAACTTTTAAATAATTTAAACTCAATCTATCATTTTATTCCCATAAACTAAAACCGATATATATTTATAGAAAAAAATGAACACTAGATGTCGACAAAGTCCCGCAGTGCAAGTTGAACAATTATGACGCAATGGATTCCTAGAGTGACTGTTGTTTTGTGCTTTTATGTTTACGCATGCACACAAATAACAGCTTTATTATGACTTCCACTTTCTTTTTTATAAAACAAAAATAATGTCATAAACTCTCAAAGCAAACCCAAAGAAACATTTTATAATTTAGCTTTGAGAGCATAGCTATGGACAATAGCATGACATAAGCATAGCAGCATCTCTGGCTCCATCGCTCACAGACAGTACTGGTCTGTTTACATCAGCGTTTGTTCTCTGAGGACAATGGGAAGATTCACCGCACCGAGAGATACTCCTCTCCAAGAGAGAAATAAGTATATGGAAGGGGGAATAAAGGTTTTGTATGTGATCATTTTAAAACTAAAAATATTTATCTATCCCCTCAAACTGCTCTATAAAGATACTGTCTGTAAATGCTAAAAAAAATGGTCCTGACTTTGCATCCAGTGCAGTATAAAAAGCTGACCAAATCTGTTTTCATACAGTAAACCATAACAGCCTCAGACTCGGCACTGTTCACTACACGTGTAGCTACACACACTCAAACACTGACATCTTTGCTCTCGTCTGTGAAAGCAGCAACAGCCTCCCTTTACGGGTTGAGAGTAGAGACCTGCGCGGGACGGATACAATGGGAAGATTCACCACACCGAGAGATACTCCTCTCCAAGAGAGAAATAAGTATATGGAAGGGGGAATAAAGGTTTCGTATGTGATCATTTTAAAACTAAAAATATTTATCTATCCCCTCAAACTGCTCTATAAAGATACTGTCTGTAAATGCTAAAAAAAATGGTCCTGACTTTGCATCCAGTGCAGTATAAAAAGCTGACCAAATCTGTTTTCATACAGTAAACCATAACAGCCTCAGACTCGGCACTGTTCACTACACGTGTAGCTACACACACTCAAACACTGACATCTTTGCTCTCGTCTGTGAAAGCAGCAACAGCCTCCCTTTACGGGTTGAGAGTAGAGACCTGCGCGGGACGGATTTTCCAGTCCCGTTCCCGCAAGATTCTGTCCCGCGCCCGCCCGCTCCCGCAAAAATATATCTTATCTGGTCCCGCTCCCGCCCGCGACATTAATGTTTTGTCCCGCTCCCGCCCGCAAAAGCCCGCATAAAAGTAATCTATATAGATTGTTTTAAGTACATTGAAGAAATTTACATGAAATGGTTCTGTAACATCTCCTAAGCTCCACAACATCCCAGCATAAACATAACAAACTACTACCGATAAAATATTTGTTATTTAGACCGCGGTACTCCCGCGGGAGTGCAGGTCTCTAGTTGAGAGGCTAGAAGGGATACAGCTACGACCACTGGGAATGCGCACATCAATATTGCGTAATTGTTGTCACTCTGAACAACAATAATTACGGTATTGTATGAAGGTAGAATGACGTCAAAAAGATTTGCATACGCAGGGTAAGAGTTGTGGAAGTGTACATAAGACTGTAAGCTTAAATTAAATTTGCATGCGTTTGGGTTATTGTAAGGGTGTAGCAAATGTAACTTATTGTGACGTTCCAGCCGTAGCTGTATCCCTTCTAGCCACAACCCTCTTACGCTTCCAGACGCCAGCCAGTTACTTAGCAACCACACTTCACTTCCATGGCAATGCTATAAAAAGCAACAACAAAGAAAAAAAGGGAAGATGGTGTATGACAAATGTATGAGGGAGTGTGTCAGAAGAATTACACACTCATAAGATCATATTTTGACCTCCAAATGTAAATTTTTCTTATGATTTAATAATGTTGTTTTAAGCATTGTATATTTTCCATTCAACAAATTCTTCACTTTTTCCTTATAATTCCTAATATACAAATTGGCCACCCCTAACTAATCATTATCCTTTCTGATATTACAAATGATTATGCAATGTATTATCTTGCTCTGCTCTGTAATTGCTTCTTCATAGATTTTCTTCATCATCATTTATCTTCCTCTTGATTTTATTCAGGTGT